AAATTTGAAGTCAATCAAGCAATTAAATTGAAGTATATGAGAGTTTTTGTAGATTATGGTCTTAGAAATTTGAGATTTAAGATCAATTAGTGATTCCAAGATAATATCTAATAATATTTACTAATTAGATTGAAGCAAAATTTAGTGAAAGCATTTAAGACTTCAATATCTATATACAATCCAATTTTTAGAGTGATTGAATGATTCAACAAGGAAAAATTGGTGTTGAAAAGTCAACATTTAAGTTAGAAAAGGAAGGCAACCAACAACTAAGTGGTTTTGAGAGCTTTTCTTATAATTGATATATTTGATTCTTTTTAATTTTTGTATGTTTATTAATTACTTGTTGCTTGAAGTATTGGTATAATTTTAATTAAAATATATAATTTAATTAATTTTCATTGAGGTTTTAAATAGCTATAGTAATTAATTGAAATTTACTTGGAATTTTTTTAAGAGTATTTAGAGTTTCAAGTTTGATTAGAATTTAATTAGGAGTTGATTAGAATTTAAATAAAATTTGGTCTAAAATTAGGATTTATAATTTGATTAGGATTTCATTAGGATTTAGGATTTTATTAGGATTTGATCTAATATTAAAATGTAAGTTTTGTTTACAATTTGTCTAGACTTTTTTTAGAATTTAATTAGGATTTAGGATTTCATCAAGTTTTGGTTGAAATTGATTTAGGATTTTATTAAGATTTGTTGAAGTTTATATTAAAATTTGATTAAGGTTCAATTATGATTTCTATTTTTGATATTTCTTTATAATTTTTTTATTATATATATTTTATTAAAATTAAACTATGATTTCTTTATATTTTTTTTATAAGTTCTTAAGACTTCTTTTGGATTTAATTAAAAATTGACTAGTATTTTTATAATTTAATTAAAGTTTTTTTAGGATTTTATTAATTTTTTTAGAATTATCTTGTTACAAGTTCTATTTTTTCTTCAGTAGCTAAGTATTTAGTACATTTTCAAGTAGACTTCACATAATACAACAACAAAATGGTAAGGTTGGTATGTGAAAATAACTTGCTTAGCTCTAAATCCACACTATTGTGGCAATGGCTCAAGGTACTCATGTACTCTTCAAACTCTCTTACATTTAAATATATTAAAGTTATAAAAAATATTGCCACATTTTTGCATTGTCTTCAAAGAGAAAATTATTATCATCATATAACTTTTTTGTGTCTCGATGTATAGAATAGAAAGATGAACCAACAACATAGGCATAGTCACCATCACTTGACGCAAATGTTGAGGCTCAACTTACAAGTGACAAATCCTTAGCAAACAAGATGAGGTTGTACATCATTCCAAGAAACATCTATAACATGCACAAGCTAGATTCAATTTTAATAGACACATTGCACAAAGAGTTGGAGCAAGAGCAATTTATTCAACCCATTGTCTCTCCTATTAATATATCTCCTTATCTCAAATATATTCCAAAAAAATAAGCTTGAATGTACATTGTAAAAACTTTATCAACAACTCGTGGCCATTTGGTATTTCTACCCACCTCTTATTGAAGGCAAAATTATTAATACAGCCATTGAAAAATTTACATAGTTCTTCCAAAAACTACATGGACTTATAAGAGAATCTTAACACACATATACATACACATATACACAAACATGATTAGGATCAGTAGTATATTTCTCTTGTGATCTTTGACTTTATTGATTGTGTGAGTTGAAGAAGCTGTCAAAGCTTCTAGCTCAAAATATGTTATCAAAGATTGTAACAACATAATTTCTTTACCACTGAGATTTCTATACTCTTTGCCCTCCATGTAACATTGATCATCGCAAATCACTACTACAGTATAAAACTTGGTTTTTAGAAGATACACAATTCTAAATGTATATAATTTTCATTTGTAGCACTTATAGTAAGTTGTCTTTCAAGTAGTGTTTTTGCATAGCCACAATTTTACTTATGAGTGAATACAACCTATAAGCTTTTTTTTAGATACTATAGACAACAATCCATAGAATAAACTCAAGGTTTTATTGAGTGAGGATCAATTGGAGACATAGTATTGAAACAATAGGCCTATGGTCTAAAAATTGGGCTTTTATGTTTTTTCTTTTGTGAATTGAGGTACATATCATGATTCATCATACTAAGTTTCTACCAAAAAAATTGTAGTATTTCTGTGAAAAAATAACATTGATATAGTCTTTTGAAGTAAAATAGTACCTTATTTTATTATCATGCATGATTCCAATATAAAACTATGTTGTTTTCTTATGCACAATTTCATTGTCTTTGGATTATTCTCAAAAAATTTGAAGTTGAAAGTAGTTCTTGAATAACTTGGAAATTGCTAGGAGTTTGTTTGTTAAAAACTTTTAGTCAAAAAATGAGTCAAAAATTTTCAATGGTTTTTTATTTGAAGTAGAGTATGAATTTTAATCTAATTGAGGTAGTAGCAAATGTTGACAATAGAGATGTGCAAATGTGAGTTAGAAATGAGAGGGACCATAGGGATTTTGAGATGAAAGTTGAAAATGAAGGGAACAAGAAGGGTCAAGATGAGAGTTGGGAATAGGGAGGAAGAATATAGAGGTTAAGATGAGAGCTAGAAATAGGGAAGGGAGGGGAGAACATGGAGGTCAAGATGAGAATTGGGAACAAGAGGAGGACAAGATGAAGAAGGCTAAGAATGTAGGAAATAGGGACTAAAAACAAAGTAGGTGGAAATAAAGGTCATGATTGTAATGATAGTTAAGATAGAGTGGTTTGATTTAATAAATGGATGAATAATTTTAATATATATATAGATATGAATGATAAATCAATTCAAATTTTTACTAAAGAAATCCACTCATCATGACAATCATAAAAAAATAATTACCTCTAGGTTCATTTTTCTACTATTGGATCTACAATCAATAAAACCAAGCACATTTATTTGCAATCATGATTACTTAATCTTCATCGTTGTTACAATAATAGCCACTTCTATGTGCAAAAGTCCTTCTTAATATAATCCTAATTATTTGTTTAAAAGAAAGGGAGGAACTTGTCTCGAATTGGTCTCATTGCTCTACTCCTTACTCCTACTTTGCATCTCTATTCTTCATCTCTACTCCGCTCCTTGCTTCCACTTTGCATCTTTGGTCCGCATTTCTAATCCACTCCTCACTCACACTTTGCATCTCTAATCTGCTCCTTGCTTCCACTTTGCATCTTAAGTCCACATCCATGGTTCAGCCCACAAACAACAAAAAGATTATAAAAAAAAGAAATCTAAGTTACTACAAGGAATTTTTAGAAACCAAGTTAAAATATTTCAAAAATATCTAAAATCAATGCAAAAATTTGTGCAAAATTCTAAAAGTACATATATTTTAAAAAAATAAAATAACATAATGTGATAAAAATTTCTTCAAAACTTAAATTTTAAATAGAATATGCATTTGGTCTTAAGAAAGTTGGATATAATGTTAGAAGAGCTTGATTTAGTGGTGTGGTAAAAAGAACTTAACAAAATCAAGGAATTTTATGATTGCTAGCATTTTGTATGCATAATATATACACAAATTTATGGACGTAATAATAGCTAAATACTAAAGGAAATATAAACATGAGCTATAAAAGTTAAATTCAATATTGTTTGAATATAATTATGATGAAATATCTTCATTTTAAAAAAATAAATAAATAAACACTAAAAATATATAGATCAAACAATGGTATAATCATCAATATAATAATAAATAAATTTGTACCTTTGTTCAATTTAAATTTAAATAAATGAATATATATATATATATATATATATATATATATACATTGATTTAATTATGCTAATTTTTTTTATCATGGAATTTTTACAAGAAGTACATTTCATTCAAATTTAAAATCATTTATGATCGTGTAAGAATATTGCTTTAATAAAACTAGGATGCTGTTAAAATTCAATTTAGTTTTCTGAAAATTCTACCTAAATTATATAATAAAAGATATCCTCATGACATTGCATAAAGTCAAATTTAATATATTATGTACATAGTTTTTCTTATAAATTTTTATTAAATTTCCATTAATAGAAATTAATTCAAAAATGTTAATAAATATCATAAGCTCAATATGAATTTTAAACTGTCAGCATTGAAGAAAAGATTGTTAGATATTACTTGATTCAGTTTTTAAATCCAATATAAAAATATTTGACAGTCTGTTATAACTCATTTACGACAGGATGCCTTTGTCTTTTAGAAACTCGTAAATATGCAATCTTTTTTTTATCATTTTTAGCTCTATATCTAATTAAAATTAAACCTATTTATTTGAGAATGAACATTAAAATGCTAGTATAATTTTTCCTCTGGTTTCCTTTTGAATCAAGTGCAATAAAGATTATCCACTGTTTAAATAGTTACTGATGACAAACATGAGAGAATTATCATATTATTCTTACAAAGTTTTTGATTGCAAAAAAAATCATTCCTGCAAGGATATTTTTAGATTTTGATCATTTCATAATTCATTGATTCTGTATTAGAATGATGGAAATCAATTTTTCATTTGATCAATACAATGAAAGGATCTGAATGCTAAATCTACCTTAAATATTGATCAACATTATATCATATACTTGTTCTAGTTAATTAATGAACCACCTTTCATTAATGACTCTACATTGAATGATTTGATACTCTAGGTTTGTTTGTAAGTTCCCTCAATCACAAGTCAAAAATTGCTATGCACGATGTCCAGTGGAACATGTATTACGTATGTTTGTCATATTTTCCGGAAGTCAAATATGTTTTTCCATGAGTACAAACAAAAGAGAAACGTTCTCATATTTTTACATCTAATCTGAGAAAAAAAAAAAAAAAAAAAAAAACTAATAAATTTATATCTTTGCTTGGAAGAGCTTGAGTACAATAATTTAAGAATTGAGATATATCACAAAAGAATTGTAGCAGTTCGAAAAAAAGGCTTCCTCATTACGATAAGCATAGACAATATTTCAGCACAATCAGCTGGTTTACTCCGCTAATCTCAGATGGGCTCTGAGATTAGAACGGAACAATGTTGGATTTATTAAGTCTGCTTGTTAAGGGGAAGGGCACGTCGTGGTTACTTCGAGCCTTAGGGATTCCCTTCTGTACTGTATAATGACAGTTTCATGCATAATTATTACATTTCAGTCACGTGGTTAAAATTTACTTCAATTCTCTCCAACATGGACAGAAATAGGCTAACACGGTTTTAAGAGCCCTTGGGGAGAAGCTGATGTTCTCCCAATGGACCAAATACTTTCATGAATGGCTGACAAGTGCATCTGTGAATTAAAAAAAAAGAAGGTGCAATCAACACTAATTCTAGTAAGACTTAGCAAAAATGGCGACCTCAGAGGCCTGGCTTCCTGAAAAGAAACAGACATTGTTGTGTTCCGGCTGCTCGAACGGGAAACACCTGATTGTGGCCCCTGTTTCCTCTTTCACCCGTGCCTCATCTTCGTCACTTCCTGCCCATGGCCCTCTTGCCCACTGGCCCTCTTTGATGGCTTCCTTCAATTCTTCATAAGAGCTCACATCAACGATATTGCTGTCCCTGAATGCGGTTGCCCTCGCCAGCAAACTCTCTTGGATTTCCTCTAACCTGTTCTTGACAAACTCCACCAGAGGTTTTTCCTCCATAGACACCCCGAACTGTTTTCCATCCTTTCCAGGCACATCCCTCCTAGCAACTACCAGAACATTCTCTGCAACATCACGAGGACCAATCTCAATCCGAATGGGTACACCTTTCATTTCCCAGAAATTGAACTTAAACCCAGCAGTCTTTTGGTCGGACACGTCCAACTTCACGCGCAAACCCGCACCCTTCAATATCTTCTCCGTCTTCTCAGCTGCGGCCATAACGTCTGCTTTCTGCTCATCTTTCTTCCAAATCGGTACAATGACGACTTGCAGAGGTGCTACCCTTGGTGGAAAGAGTAGACCCGTATCGTCACCATGCGTCATTATAATTCCTCCTACCATCCGGGTGCTCATACCCCATGAAGTTTGCCACACGTACTGAAGGTCCCCTTTTTCGTCCGTATACTGGGTGTTAAAAGCTTTAGCAAAGTTTTGGCCTAGGTTATGACTGGTCCCTGCTTGCAAAGCCCTCCGATCGCCCATCATGGCCTCAATTGTATACGTGATAGAAGCACCAGCAAAAGTTTCTAGCCTTGATTTACGACCAACTACTACGGGAATAGCAGCTTGACTGTATGCGAATTCTCGATAAACCTCGATCATTCTAAGTGCCTCCTCCTCTGCCTCTTCCGGAGATGTATGTGCTGTGTGCCCTTCTTGCCACAGAAATTCCAGTGTTCGTACGAATGGTCGTGTCCTCATTTCCCATCTGCACACATTTTCTCTCGTCATCAGAAAAGTTGCAGAAGAGGATATTTAACTGAACAAAAAAAAAAAAAAAAAAAAAAAAAAAAAAAAAAAGAGTCTGCATTAGGTTCTTGATTTTGTGTACAAGATTTCAATCATGCAAAATAATGAAGGGTGACGAATGAACAAAACTTATTCGTTCGATCGAAAGGAAGACTCAAACTGGCAAAAGTAAAGAAAGCGTCTAGAAGGGAGTGCTCACCTGTGCACATTGGCCCACTGGTTGATCAAGAGAGGAAGATCTCGATAACTTTGGACCCACTGGGCAAACATATGATTAACAATGGTTTCACTGGTAGGTCGAACGACCAGTCTCTCTTCAAGCTCTTTACCTCCGCCAATAGTGACCAACGCAAGCTCGGGACTGAAGCCTTCCACATGGCTTGCTTCTTTCTCAATGAACGAGTACGGAATAAGCTGAATCGAAATAGAACCATTTGTAAGCAGAGAAAGCAAAGATTTCGAAATAACTGACAGTCCACAGGACTCCTATCAGAAGCTTGAAAAGAGACGGAGAGGTCTTATTCGCTTCCCGGGTGCAGACTTATAACAAGTGCTGATAAACATAACAAGTTCCTTCATGCTATCTTCGGTGGATGAGTTTTCTGTGTGGTATCAGACAAAAGAAAATAGAGGTATTTTCCATATCTTGCACAAAACCTTGCATCAGCACAGTACAGAGATAGAGAAAACAAGTGGCATAAAATGTTTCATTTGGGCTTTTTGGTAGGAAATCTATGGCGTTTATCTTCTACAGAAAGTTGATGTGGGCTATTCTGTTGAAGGAAAGCTGATAGCACTTCAATCATAAGGTCCATACCTGGGGGAAGTACATGTTGGAGTGACCCGTCTCCTTGAATCTTGCATCCAACCAACTCTGAATGAACTCCCAAATGGCGTATCCATATGGTCGGATTACCATTGTCCCTCGAACAGGTCCATAATCAGCAAGTTCAGCTGCGTCAATAACATCCAAGTACCACTTACTGAAGTCTTGGCTCCTGGGGGTTACTTTGAGGTTCTTTTCTTTCTTTGGTTTACTTTCCACTTTTTCTTTGGATTTCGGAATCTTAGCTGTTGATCCTCCTTCTTGCTCTTGAGTCTCCACAACGGCAGCTCGAATGTGGGTAGAGAGGGATCGAGTAGCAAAGGATACTCCATTTCTTCTCGTCAGTCCTGCAGCCATTTGAAACATCAGGGCAGAACATAGAATTGACGATTCTATCACACACACACACACGCCAACAAAAGTTCATTATCATCAATATTATTACCATCGTAATACAACACACAACGACTATACTACCTCGTAAGAAAAACCCTACCCAAAAAGGTCACACTTATCGTCTTCTTCTGATCAGCCTAGACATCGATTGTCAGTGCAAACGGGCAGTGTAATAAAGCGAGTGAAAAATGCACTTTGATTCAGCGAGTTTGATATTCACAAGCACTCAGACCTCACTGTATTTAACCAATCTGCCCTATTGTAAAGGACCAAATCCTGCTCTTCGACAACTCCTACACGACTCAGTACCATTGTAGCAACAGCACAATGCCAGTAATCCTCCATCAGAAAAACTACCACTAATCTCAAACTCTGCCAACTGATTTTCATATTAATCAACTTCCCAATCCCAATTGACTCACTTCCACTTACAACCAAACAACCCAATCTATCGCACGACTCAACCACTAATGTCATTCCAACCCCATCCACTACAGTAAGATCGAATTTGGATTAGGGTTCAGCGTCAAGGCCTACTATGAAGGTACGCAACCACAAGTTCAACCGCACTGCACTCACATGACCGGCAACCACATTGTGAATCCCTACGTAGGCATTCACGACCAAATCAAAAAACCAGAGTAGACTCAAGAACCACTCAAATTCAGCGCAGAAATCACCACTACTTCACAATCCCGCACTTTGCCACGACGAGCATGACTCTCCCAAGCCTGAAACCACCGTCACATTCCTAATTCTGTTTCACGTGGAGATGAAAACCGCAGAATGACATGCGAAGACGAGTCTAACAGTAGAGCGCCTCAAACACACACGCATTGCATCACGGAATTCGAGAACCGGATTGTGAACTGACCAGACGCTAGAAATTTGCTCCGTAAGCTCTGGGAGCAGAGTAGAGAAGCACGGTGCACCCCGACTCGGGAGCTCCGGGAGCGCACGAGCAGAGGGGCCCAGGAAGCAGCAGCAGGTCGAGAGGCGAGCTGAGAGACGACGGCAGGCTGTGAGAGGGAGTACTTGAGCGCCATAGCCAGACCTCCTCCGCCGCAGCAGCAGTAGTCCAGTGCTCGCGCCATCGCCACCACCTCCTCCTTCCTCGTTCTCTACCCCCGATTCGCATTCCCAGCCTACCCTTCCTTTGTTGCTTGCTTCCCGAACTCGCTGCCCGATGCCCGGATCAGGGCTGTTTCGGGCTGCCCGACCCTCCGGCTCTATCCAAACCTGGAAGGAACTATGGGTGTCCTCCCTCCTCCTTCCGAAGCCTGTTTTTGGATATTGCTGCTTCATGTCCCGGGATCTATTATTTTTAGTCTCAAGTTACATGCACACCCCAAAATGCTATACATATATAAATAAATAAATAAAGATCTCTAATTGGTTGCTTGTTTTGTGGAGATTAATACTTGCTATTATTATAGGAGTCTTGTTGGTTGAGCAATAGACGGGATAGAAGAGAAACAACTTGCCTGGATTTTATTTTAACTTTATCTCTTTAATCTTGAAGCAAGTCCTTGACTTCCTTCTTGATTCCCTAGTCCTGTAGGATCTCGTGCTTCATTTTTTCCAACTCCAACTTTTCATCATCACTTTTTTAGGCTAACTCGTTGTAGATGTTTGTCTAATTTGCCAAGCCTTGCATTCACTCTTAAACTCTTTTAGAGTTTTGACAGTCATCGTTACTACTTCAATACAATATCTACACTTGTTCTGGCTAGATTTTTGAATTTAAATGGTTTTTATTATAGCTTCAAATCAAGCAAACAAGTAAGTGCACAATTAATGTTTATTATACTTGGCTTCTAAGGTTTAGATAATACACATATAAGAACTTGGTAGAGGTTGAGCGAATTGCATCAACTTTTTCGTTCTAGAAGCTTCACAACACCTTTACACTCTTCTTACATCTATGGCAAAATTGTAATAGATAGTAGGATTGCACAAGCTCCACTCACTTATGTGTGTACATGCTAGTGGGCAGAATGATGATAAGAGTATTAAGTCAATTCATGCTCAAAAAAAATAAAGCATAGGACTAGAAGTTGCAGTGGAATTAGATAAGCAAAGTTAAAATCAAAATCAGTTAGGGTCACTACCCAGTCACTCCATCCATTGATTGGCCAATGGGACCACCATAGGAGATGATATTAAGATCTTCAAACTAATATTAAGTGTTAATCTCTATAAAATAAGAGCCAATTAAAGGTCTTTATTTTTTTTTTTGGTGTGTATATAACAATTTGGAGTGTATGTATAGCAACTTGGGATATATTTGTAGCTTAAGACCTTTATTATTATTATTATTATTATTCATAGAGGATTAATTGCAGTCTTTGCTTGAATTGATTATGAAATACCACCATTACTTTTAATTTTAATGATGTTTGTAAAATAAAAGCTCTTTAGCTTAAATTTATGTTTTTTATATAATAAAATCTATTATGAAATATTTTAGATTTTTTAATATATATATATATATATATATATATATATATTTTTTTTTAATGAAATATTTTTTATTATTTAGTTCTATTATTATAAGTAGATCTAATTTTTTACAAGTTAAATAATTTTTTTGGTGAAACTTTACGCTAATTTAAATGGTTTGAATAGTATTTGATCAATATCATCATTTTGTATCATTGGATTAAAATTAATCTTATTAGATATTATTAAGATTGCAAAATGTCATTCTTATTAGATATTAGGACATGCCTAAAATTATTGAAGGGTAATTTCTTTAATCAAAATAAGTGTACATCATTGCTTTTTAAAGTCATAAACTTAAATGTTGGTAGATTTTGTATAATTCAAAGTGTTTGTACTTTAACTTTGTAAATCTTATATACCAAGAGCCTAATAAATGACCTTTTTACAAATGCCATAAATTCAAAAAACCATTAGATGTTGGAATCAAGCATATCTAATTTAAATGGTATGTTAAGCATTAAGTAATGTGAATTAAGATCTTTCTTGTCTTTAATAATTATCTCATATATAGATATTGTATTTAAAGTTTTATATTTGAGTAAGATGCACCAAGATTTATTTGGCATGTATACAGCTTACTTTGAAGGATAAAAAGAAGCCAGTTAAAAATATATTATAAATTGCAACCTTAAGTCTTTTTTAAAAAATCACAAATGATCTATTTTTATGAGAATTTGCAAAGATATCTTTTGATTGAATCAAACCAATGCTTGTTATAATAGATTCTTACAAGCAAGTAGATATAGGAATAGTTAATAAAGCTATTCAAAATATATTTTAAAGAAAATATTTAATTATTTACTAATATTAAATATGATTAATTTAAATTTTCTAAATACATTTTATTTTAGAAAAGATTTATTAACATTCAAGGTGCAAAAAATCAAAGAAATTTAAAGAAATATAATAATATTTTATAATATTTACAACTTTTTACAATATTTTTTTCTATCTATTCGATTAAAAGAAAATTAAAATTAAAAGATAAATCTATAATTAAAAATAGAGTCTTTTTAGTTGTAAATATTCAATTAAAATATTTAAGCTAATTAGACGTAGACTCAATTTTATTTTATAAAATTTCTCTAATATTATTATTCTACAAAAACATATCACAAAAAAAGTTGTAGATAGAAAAAAATTAGTTAATATAGTAAATTTAATATCATTGACATATTTTATCATTAAATTGTGATATATTCTATTATTAAATTGTGATATATTTTTAAAGGAAATTAAAGATTATGTATCTTTCCTTTCTATATAGCTTTCTAAATCATGAAAATAAGACCATGCATTTTTATTGAAAAGTACTATGATATCAAAAGACTCCTTTAGCTCACATCTCTTTAAAATTAAAAATAATAATATCATTTTTTTAGAATATTATTTAAGAAAATTATATTTAAATAATAAAGATAAAATTTATAAAATTGGAAAAAATAAGTCCTAGAACTTCTATACTTTTAATTAAGAAGTTTCAAAATACTATCTTATAATTTTTGATAAAATCCAAATTTGAATTTTTCTTATTTTTTCATTATAAAACCAATTCAAATTTCATATAAAATTAATTTTTTTTCTAATAAAGATTTTGAATTTTTTTTTAGTTATAATAATCAATTAAAGTAATAATCAAAGAATTATAGCTAAGACCTTATATCTTAAATTTAAGACCAAAAAATATTATATTATCACTTTCATTTTTTCACTTTTTTTAATAAATAAATTTAAATAATTATCTTGTAAATTTATTTTTGTGACATTTTATAATTATTTAGATTATTAAAGGAATTTTATTTATATACATATAAATATTAATATTTTTGAGGCTAAAATAATTATAAATTTGAAATATTTAAATCAAAATGTATCTGATCTTTAAAATTTGAAATATTTCAATTAAAATAAATATAATTTTTAATGTTCAATTCTCTTTGAAGAAGTAGAAGATTTGTTGAATCTATGTCTTTATTTATAAATACCAATAAGTATTAGATCTTTATTTTTTTATAAAACATAATAGAGTACTATTAAAAAATCTAAAATTAGTCAAATGTCTTTATCCAATCAAAACTATTAGCTTGGAATTAATTTAAAGTTTTTTTAAATATTAATTCTTTCTCCTAGAAATATAAGAAAAATAAGTTAGATGTTTAAGAAACTATTCAAATTTATTATACTACAATTTATGAAATTTATTTTTTATACAAGATTATTAATATAAAATAAAAAAATTTCAAAATTTGAATTAGTATAGATTGACAAAATCTTTCAAAAAAATATATTGTTATAAACTAAGAATTATAGATTTTTTGATATATAAATTAGATATTATTAAATGGCCAAGAATTTCTGTATTTTAGCTCCTTGGTTGGTTGAATTCAATGGGTGAGATGTTAATTATATTATTCAATAGTAATATTGGTCTTAATGACATATGCTTTTTTAACTTCTAAACAACTTAGATCACTCTCCAACTTTGTAACCACTAAAAATTGGAACAAATATAGAGCCATCAACTAATATTATTGAAAAGTCTTGTCTTAGAAGAATAATCTCTTATATTCTCAAACTTTGATAGTAATTCACAAATACTGGATTAGTCATATATTATATAATAAATATAAAATTACTACAACAAATAGTTGAGTTATTATAAGAAACAATGGGATCTTTAATACTTATATGATAAAAAGAAATAAGAACAATATTAATCACTAATAAAGTAATAAAATTAAGAAGTAATACCATCTCCTCAAAGACTTTGTCTTAAAAAAAAAAAAAAAAAATCTCACGTAAAATTTTAATTAGTGTTGCAATCTAAAGATTCGTTGGTACATAGATGTTGTAAAACAAAACCAAATCCAAAGGACAATTTATTTATTTATTTTTGATTGTATAATATAGACTTTTGTAATAAAAAAAAGTCATGGTTTTTTGTATTGAATATAAAACTTGTGATTATCAGAATTGTTGTTTTCATGTTAATCTCTTGCTGGAATTTCGAAATTTCATCGTTTGTACTGTGGATTGCAATACCCTCAAGTCAAAATCAGATAAAAAGTTGACTACTAGAAGTATATGTTTTACAACCTAAGGGGTGGCTAAGCACATTGCAGGAGACCCTTTTTAAATGAGAGTGTTGAGAAATACCATAATAATATCTCACAAAGCTATTATAAGATGGAAGGTCTCTAGATGCATAATGACTGCAAATGTATCATTATAATTAGTGCACGGGCATTGCATGTCCTCAAGGACAAGAAATTGAGCCTTGTTGTAGAAACTGCTCCATTTGCAAGTATACACTGAGCAAGTTGGTAACAATTGTGCATTAAGGAGGTAACAAAGCAAATTGAACGACATTAAGTTGATGAAGTTGACAAAGCTCAAGTTCTTCTGCCTCACACCACTTATCTACATCAAAATTGTTTATGATTTATTTTATGTGATAAACGAGGAGAGGGTGGTCCTCGAACTTGGTTTTACAATTTTTTAAAATTAATGAAGCATAACTCAACTAATATGTTTTTGGCAATTAGTGGGTTTTATGAGCTAAGTTTGTTTTAGACTTGTTCCAACTTCTTGCTCTACTTCTTTGACAATTGGAATTTTTTCATAACTCTGTATTTCAAAACATGTGTATAAAATCATTTAATCAAATATTTTAAAAATAAATAAATAGGTATAACCATGATCAATGCAAAAAAATTACAAAGTAATTATTCTATCTTTAAAATGATTTTAATTTATATTTTCAATATTGTGATGAAAAAATAAATTACATATTAATTTATTAAAGTTAATATTGAATTTGTAAAAACCAAAAAAGAACATTCATTGCAAACATATTGCTAACATAATTAATATTTTCACTGTCAGTGATACTTCTTTCTATGGCCAATTTATTTATAAAACTAATTACAATACATATGAACTCATCCTTCTAAGTAAACCTAATAAAAAGTAACTTACAAAATTTAAGAAGAATAAAATCTAGAAAGCAAAAAGCAAATGGGAGGGGGAACCAAATAAGGGATTCACAAGAACGAAGCATATGTCACCATTTCGCCATGCATTGTAAAAAGACGATTACAAACGAGATGCAGTTTGATGTGTACAAAATGAATGGTAATGACTATCCACACCACAAATGGACGACCGGCGGACGAATGTAAAACGGACGGAAGACAGATGATATATACGAATGAACGAATGAAGTAACATTTAAATGGATGAAGCAAACAGATGCGGAGCGAGTAGGCAGAGGCAGCGACGATGCTGACTTGGCGGAGGAGGACGAAGACGACGATGACGAAGGACGAAGGATCTGTTGCTCTAGTCCCGCTGTGAGGAAGGTAGCCTACTTTGAGCTGGGCTGGTTCCACAGACAGACACAGACAGAGTGCGAGAGAGACCGAGAGAGCGAGCGAGAGATTGAGAGACTGAGAGAGACTGAGCGTCAGCGTGATCGACAGGGATCCTGCAGCGAGCGAGAGAGAGAGAGAGAGAGAGAGAGAGAGGGATAGAGGGATAGAGAGAGCCAGAGAGGGGGGGGGGGGGTTGTGGGTGTTGTTGTTCTGGATGGCGCACTGTGCGACCACCATGCAGACCATGGCGTCGGGAAAGTGCTGGCTCGACGTCAGTCTCAGTGCCAGGGGACTGAGTGCACCAATCCCCCCTCACGTTATGGCTCCCATTCTCGCTGTGAAACCAAATGTGAAGTCTCTCTGCGTTTCCAATTTCGTTCGCGGTATTGGAAGCACGATTGATGTGGGCCGGAACTTGAGACTCATGCCCGTGCTTTGTTCTGTGAAGGTAAGAGGAGGCTTCTGTTGGGTCATTGGTGAACTTTTCATGCTCGGGTGTGGAAAAATCTGAGAAGGAGGCTAATTCCGTGGGATTTTTGATAAAAAGTAGGAGGAGGAATCTTCGCAGAGCATTGATGACGAGCAAAAAGTGTCTGAAAGGCCCTCGACTTTGTTGCGAGAAGGAGAGAAGGTTCAGTGGGATAACCCAAGCACTGCCAGCATGCGAGCACGTTTTGAATCTATGATTCGAAAGGCACAGGTAGTCTCAAATTGTAAATCATAAGCCCTAGTTCCATTCTCGTCTTAGAATTCTCATGGAAAATTCTTCAAGAATGGGTGCAATTATTTCGAGAGTGTGGTTGCTTGTACCTGCCCAGTCACGCGTTGAGGGAAATTGTCCACATTCAGTAGGATTTCATCTCTCGATTTGACAATTTAGTAAGTTACACGGTCGATTGTAGGATGACATATGCGCGGCAGTGGAGGCTGTAGATGGGTCCAAGTTCAGAGAGGATACATGGATTCGTCCCGGGGGTGGCGGCGGTATCAGCCGGGTTTTGCAGGATGGCAATGTCTGGGAGAAGGCTGGTGTGAATGTGTCGGTGGTGTATGGATCTATGCCACCTGAGGCCTATAGAGCTGCGATCGGAGGTGCCTCTGCGAACGAAGAGGCCAAAAACAAGGCCGGCCGAATTCCATTTTTCGCTGCTGGTGTTAGCTCTGTATGTTCTCTTCTGTTTGAATGTTTGACCTTGTGTTCAGCTAGATCATGTCAATTCACAACATCATTGATGCATCCATACTGTTTGTTTCAACATTGTTACTCCAGTCATTCATCTGAGTTCTTTGGAACAAGATGCATACATGTTGAGTCTATCATTAAGGTTAGGAGTTATCGAACGGCAGTGACAAGTGGTTGGGGATTCCAGGTGATGCACCCCAAGAACCCCATGGCGCCCACTGTGCACTTCAATTATCGATACTTTGAGACAGATTCCCCTCAAGGTAATCATGACTTTAGGTGACAGAGATTCATACTTACTTCATGAAAAATGTTTAAGCTATAGGCTTACAATGTGTGCACATTAGCATACTGTTCATGCTAATGCCAACACTTTTTGTCAGCACTCACTTTGTTCGCACCTATATGTTGTGTACTGGTAGAATCGAACGTGCCTGCTAGTGATAGTTCGATAATTCCAGTAGAATCGAAGTCCTTGTCGTTCATTAGCGAGCATTATTCGGATTTTTTCATTAATGACCCGACGGAATTGTAATATTTGGAAACTTTATCTTAAAACTGGAAAATGGTTGAAAGATAAACTGTGGGAATCATGGGAATAACAATTTTTTCTCTAAGTGGAGTCTTGTTTAGTTTCCCTTGTGTTCAAGTAGTTGAAAGTATGTCAAGCAATAAGTGTGCCCAATAAAGGCACACAATCATTGACTAGAGCGAGCGTCACTTGAGCTATGTTAGCATAACTTTCATCTTTTGCTAGTATTTTTAATTCTTAGCGACTTCCATTGATTTCCACATTGATCGAAAAATTTTACCTGTGATCACACACATTTGACCTGGTTGGAGTAGATGTGGAGGGGGCTCCAAGGGCATGGTGGTTCGGTGGTGGGACTGATCTTACTCCTTCCTACCTTTTTGAGGAAGATGTGAAGCATTTTCATCAGGTGAGTCGTCAGCATTGGCGTTAAGCGACTAGAGTGTGAGAGCAAGTATAATGGACTTCTCACAAAATCTTATTGCTTTGCAGGTCCAAAAGCAAGCTTGTGACAAGCACGATCCAGAATTCTATCCAAAATTTAAGAAGTGGTGCGACGACTACTTTTTGATCAAGGTATTATACTCCTTTAACCTGTATCTTGAGGTCCTCTGTTATTTGTTATGATCTTTACGCTTCGTAGCAATGTCTTTGTGCTCAAAATTCACGGGTTTATCAGGACTTTCTCGCCTTCGAGTCATTCGCCCTGTCAGAGTGTTCCTTGATATCACGTATCTTTCAACTGTTTTAATGTCTATTTGCTCACCAGACATGCTCGTATCCTTTGACGAATGGTTATTGATTGGGTTGTTTTATATTTGCGTCAGCAATTTTCGTTGTAATTAGTTGTTGATTGAATGGATGTGATGGTGTCCACTGATCTTGAGGATTTGGATGGGTCTTTTGCAGCACCGAGGGGAAAGGCGAGGTCTTGGAGGAATCTTCTTCGATGATTTGAATGATAGAGATCCAGAAAAAATCCTTACTTTCTCAACAGGTACTTGCAGTGCGTGCATGTTTTTTAAATGAAGAACTTATCAACTTACATTCTACCTCAAGTTAGTTTTGTGCAAGCCACGAAGTATTGATTTTCTTGAATACCATTTGTTTTTTTTGCAGAGTGTGTAAATTCTGTGATTCCAGCTTACATTCCCTTGGTAGAGAAACGAAAGGACATGACATTTACAGAGAAGCAGAAGGCATGGCAACAACTTAGAAGAGGTCGTTATGTAGAGTTCAACCTGGTAAGTTTCTCTCGACTTGCACTTACGAATGAGCGTGAGCTAATAGCCCCACTGTCATCTTACGATGCTGCCAATTGATGTGGAATCTCTCTTGATTGCAGGTGTACGATCGAGGAACAACCTTTGGGTTGAAAACAGGGGGTCGTATTGAGAGCATTTTGATGTCGCTACCTTTGACTGCTCGCTGGGAATATGACCATGTGAGTACTCATATTTACCTAAAATCGTGTTTTATTTTGTTGGGATTTTCATTTCTACTACGTTTTCTGATTGCTGCTCTTCTCTGACAACATTAGTTTTGGTGAAAATACAGACCCCCGAGGAAGGTAGTGAAGAGTGGAAGCTTTTGAATGCCTGCAGAAGCCCAGTAGAGTGGGCGGCATTGGAATTATAGAGTGGTTAGGAACGGAACTGAAATCATCCCACAACATTTTGAGCGGTTGGGTGCAAAGCGTGTGCTACAACCTGGGTATGTTAGTCGTTTGCTACTGGGTGAGTACCAGTAGTGAGTAAAAATCCTGAATTGGGTGCCATCAGTGATCTTAGATCAGGTTTACGGATGGTTTATGGAGGTAGAGATACCCAATTGTATTACTTGCATATGATGCATAATGCATAGTTGCACAGTTTTATGCATGAACTGTTGAAGCACACGGAGCTAGAATGTAGATTTGGAGGTTCATAGCATGTATTTGAATGAGACACAACTTGAAGAAGTTTCATTTGATTTGACATATTTTAGAATGTTGGACCTTTGAAAATTGGATTTGCTCATCACTATATAATACATAAATTACTAAATGATTTATGAAGTTTTTCGCCTGTCGTTGTTATTTTTTTGGAAATAAAACTTTTTTAGTTTTATGTATATTTTAGAAATAACCAATCTCTTTTCAATAGATAATATATTAAAAAATATAAAATTCGTAATTTGTTTTTGAAGTTTTTTTTTACAATTTTTGAATATTCTCTTTTGACAGTCCTTCCATATATATATATATATATATATATATATACACACACACATGTAAACATAAACTTTAATGATCCACAATACGTTTTTTTATTTTTTTTTATTTTTTTTCCAGTTTTCTGATTTAAAAGCATAATAATTGATATTTCAAAAATATCAATTTTGACCTGTTAATATTTTTTTATGATATGATATTGCATCTTATGTTATTGAAATTAATTATGATTGTTTTGAAATGATGTCCATCTCCCTTTTAAATTTCTCTAGGAATGAAATATAATTCTAAAAATAAAATTAGTTTTTAAAAATAATTCATTAAAATTTCTGGAAATTTTAAATATTAAAATGCTTTTATTTAATGTATAAATATTGTAATTAATATGTTAATTCTTAAGATTTTATAGCTGTATTGTTCATAAATATTATTGTTGCAACAAGATTATTAAAATAGATTTATGTTAAATATATATTTTTGCATTGAAATGTTTTTGAAGACACTTTAAAATTTTAGGCATATATTGAAGGAAAAAAATATAAAGGATAGATATCTACTTATAAAAGAAAAAAAATATTTCAAAATATACTAAATAAATATTGAACATTGAATATCAATTGGTAAGTTGTCTATACAATACGTCCATAATATTGTTTTAATCTTAATTTATATATTAAATGCATGTGGTATAATTTTTTTAAAAGAATTTCTCTATCTATAAGTCATAAGATTCAATTTTGTATTAATTAATAAATATTAACAACCAAGTGTTTGAGATAAAGAAATATAAATATTATTTTAATTTTAATTAATTTAGATTTATAATATATATTTAAAATAACTTCTTATAAATAAAAATAATTACTTTTTAGCCATTTAAAATAGATTAAAGTAGAGTTTTGTTGATGTTACTTAACATTGCACATTTTTCTAACTCCTCATAATTACTTCTCTGCTTAGAAAGGTTTTTAAAGATGTCTTTGTTTGTATCAAAGCTTCTTGTATTGTTTCAATATTATTATTTCTCAATGCTTTGATATTACCATTGGTGGTCTTTTCTTGTAGTAATGATAAGATAGATCCTTTCATATGTTAATTCCTATTTGATGTTGACGTGATTAAATTCTTGATAGATAAAATAATGCTTCCATAGAGTTTCTTTTCTTTTCTTGCTTTCTTGTTTTTGTTTTGTCTTGTTTCTATTTCTTGACTTGCATTGTTTTTGTAAAGTGTAATTGGTAGATCTATGCTTGGATCTAATTATAGGGTTAAATACCTACTCTGTGATATTGATCCTCAAATAAATAAATAAATATATATACATACATACACACACACACACACACACACATATATATATATATATATATATATATATTGTTTCCTATGTGATTCTCTCATCTTGTATTTGGCCTCCACTAATTGGACTAGTATATCCTTATTATTTTCACTTGATATAAATAGGATTATTATTACCTTAAAATAATTGTATATCTAGTCTTTAATTCATGGTTACTACAATAATGTGCTCCTAATAAGAAGCTTATGTAGTCTTTAATTCATGGTTACTACAATAATGTGCTCCTAATAAGAAGCTTATGTAGTCTTTAATTCATGGTTACTACAATAATGTGCTCCTAATAAGAAGCTTATGTAGTCTTTAATTCATGGTTACTACAATAATGTGCTCCTAATAAGAAGCTTATGTGTTTGGCTAAGAAAGGTTTTAATTATTGCCTTCAATAAAGTTAGAGCTTGCTAGTCTATTTTTTTGGTGTCATTTTTTTTAATGTATTAGAAATACATAAATACATCTTTTATTCTTTGGCTGCAATAAGCTTGTGTATTCAGATAAAAAAAAACTTTTTTAGTTAATTTTTAAAAAAGTCATATGAATCATTAAAGAACCAAATATTTCTATCAATATTTTAGCTTAAAATCTTTATTTTTAAATTTGATTTTAAAGTTTGGTAAGTATTTTTAATTTTATTTAATTTAAACTCTCTAATTTTTTGAAATAATATCTTTATATCTATTTTTCAAAAAATCATATTTTTCTTTTAAAATAAATAATATCATGATCCATCTTTGATTGGTTTAATTTCTCTATTTTTTGATATCTTGTTCTTCTAGTCTTGTCCATGTAATATGTGTATTAAAAGATAGATTATATTTTATTTATTTTTTATGTTTTTATATATTTTTTAATTAAAATACTTATAATTTTAAAAAATAATTGATTAATTTTTATAACTTTTATTCTATAAATTGATTCTAAATAAAGATCATATTTATTTTATAGATTGTTATAATCTAATAAAACAATATCTCTCTTCTATCTAATTAAATTGGTAACTTAGATTTTAATTTTTAATTTTTTAAAAATAAATACAATATAATATGTCAATTATTTTGAGATATGGTTATCTTGTCTTTTTTCTAATGTTTATTTATATTTTTTGCTACTTATATTAATAAAGAAATAAATTTAATTTGAAAGTTTTTAATTATAATTCGACCTATTCCTATTATTATGTTCTAATATTCGTTTGTTTTTTTCTATATAATTAAATAAACAATTATAAGAAAAGAATTGATATTTCCACCAAAATTTTATTATTTCCACCTATTATGGAGTTACACGCACCACTCTACCATTGTTATTGTTGTTGCTATTGTGTTTTTATGACTTGTTGCATTTCAATAACAGCTATACTTGGACATTTTGGAAGCAAAGTTTGTGCTCTCTTGAGACTCTTGCTTGGTAAGTAATAGTAAGGGCACATGTATTGGACCTTGTTGCCAAAAACAATCTCCACCATACTAGGTTGCATTGCCAACAAAGACAAAAGATTGCTCAATTGGGGTACTAATCAAAGAATTTTTTTCTTTTAATAGATCACAAAATCTCAACAACAACATTGGTGTGGTGGGTGCAACACAATGTTAAGTAGAAATAGTAAAATTTCAAGTTAAAATTATAATTTTCTATAACGAAATTGTTCTAGATGAGATTATTTCTATACAAAAGAAGAAATAATAAATTGATTAGCCAAGTATTGTATTTTTGTTGAAAAAATATCTTCATAAACTTCAACAACTATATATGTGGTTTTTAGTAGAAACTTAATATAACCTTCAAAGAAATCTTCAATACATAACTCACTGAAAGTAATCTATATTAGATCAAATTTTATAAAATTATATTGTAACAACAATGCACATACTAATAACACAAGTCTAAAATTGTGAGATACAGCAAAAAAACAAAAAAGAAATATATTAAAAAAAAATCCATCATAACTCTTGTCCCAACTACAATTAACTTTCACAACTTGGAGGATGCAATTGCCTCCAATCACCAACCCTTCCTTCCTTTTCTGTGGTAAAATTACATTCCCTACAACTATTTATGGTGGAATCCCAGCTTATTTGTTTTCTCGGCAAACAATACAAATGAACTGCTTGATTGATGAGCAGCACACAAAACCCGAAAGCACCACCGGAAAAAAGAGGCATCGCAGTGATGGATTGGAACAATGCTTGAATTGAAGCCTCTCAATTGTGGGTCTTGATTGTACAAGCGAGATTCATTAATTAATTAATTGATGTCGGTCAATTCCGTTTTCCATAGGGCCGGCACGTCCGACTGCAGGTCGCTTTGACATGCACAGCAATGAACTCAAGATTCAAGACGAGACACGTTGGGAGCCTGTTTGGGCCACTGTGAGCAATTGCGAGCTACCATCACGTTTGTCTTTTTTTTCGCATAAAATTGACTTTCAATTCAAGCATGCGTAAAAGGATGTTATGGGAGCGTTGAAAATTACAGTAATTTTCATGTTTGAAATCCTCATTCACTAAAACTTCTTTCTCAAGATCTCAGTGAAACAGGTCTTTTTTCCTTTTTTCACGAAATCCACATGATTTTTTTAATTTTATTTTTTTAATGATAAAATTGGTGAATACTATTAACAACATACATGTGGGCTGTATTTGAACAACTACAACTTCTTCTTCTTCTTGAACTGCGACCGAATTATTCTTCTATCCTAATCTTTTGCAACACATCTTCATGAGGAGAGTGACCCATAAACGTATAAATCAGATGAGATTGCTCCTGCTGCAATCGTTACACTCATTCGTGCGTGATCATGCGATTTCATGCTTCTTCTGCTGAACCGATTCTCTGAACCCGAACCTTGGCCCTAATTTAGGTGCACGGCACATCTGCGATGCGAGGCAACATCTCACGTGTGCTGCAGCTGGTGATCTCCTCACTCGCACTGCAATTGAATGCAAATCATTGTTCTGCTCACCGACTCATCCGTTGCACTGACGCACTGGGATGCACGATGCAACGCTTTTAAAGCCAGCAGCAGTGAGGTGCAGAGCCAGCGGTGAGTTTGCTCACCTGATTTGGATCTGCCGAACTGCCTCCAACATTTGTGTCCTTTCGCGATGATGAATGATGAAGAATCATTCTGCAAGGATCTGGGAAGGTTATTCAGCTGAAGTTGCGTGAAAGGTATAGCTCCTCACCGTGCCAGGTCCAGTAAGGGACATCATAAGTGTGTTACTCTCTGACACATAGAATTTCGAGTTCGAACACTATGCTGCCTTCAGAAGAGGTGAGATAAACCCCGTTAAATGACCTCAGGATTGACTCATTCATTGCCCTCACTCTGCCGAAGTGCACACCCACCCCCGATCCCCATCTCGAAATATGCGCCATGGCAACAGTACTAATGTGACATGCGTGCGCATTCCTGCAATAGCAAGAGTCAGCACTGAATCAAGCCAGTTTGTGTTCTGATGAGCGATGGTCTGCGAGTACCTGTGGATATTTTTCATTTCATGAAAGTATAGGGGCGAGGGACCATGCATGCCCAATTCTTGTGTTGATGTTCTTGTAGTCGTTAGGCAGAAAGGTTTGTAAGAAATGAGTCACTGGCTTCGCTGAACAATGTCGTGACTGCTGAACATCGACTGCTCAAATCACGTAGGGATCCGATCGTAGCAAGTCAAGCAAGATCTAGTGGTGATCATTTTTCAGAATGATGAGGAGTTGCCTTTCGTCACAGACGCTGAAGAAGGACGTCGTAGACTCCCTGCGGCCATCTCGACGTCGACGAATTGCCACTGCGTCTCCGAATCCAGAGAAACGAAAGGCCTTTCAGCAGATCTTCGGCGGGCAGCCTCTTCCTCTCCCCAAACCTGAACCATGCGTGGGATCAGAATTGCTGTTAGCAGGTCATGGCAATCTGTCGTCGTCATTCTTTCATATATCGAACTTCAGCCAATTCGACGAAGACGATTCTCAGATCATTTGTACTAGGAAGTCGAGGATACCACTTCGCTTCCCCCCTCCCCCTGCCTCATCCCCTTCGTCCTCTGGTAAATGCTCCCCGTCGGCGAGGCTAGTGCCGGGTGACTGCAAGGAGGTCCCAGTGCAGGAGCATCCATCGCCAGCACAGGGCGACCCAGCCCCACCGCCTCCGTGGTCTTCCTCCTCCTCATTGTCACTCAATGATTCTTCTTCTTCTTCTTCACCTCCGTGGTGCAGCTCGCCAATGACAACGCCACAGTTACCATCTCAACCACCCGCTCTCGAAACCACTCCTCTCTTGCAAGCTGCAGCGTTGCCCTGTTCAAAAATAACAACATCGGATGGTATCGAAGCCAGTACGCCATCTTCCTCGTTAATACCAACACCACCGTCTTTAAACAAAACTTGTGGTGGTGGGTCCGCGGCGTCCGAGGTTCTGGAGGTCGCGACCTACATAGGAAACGATGTGAAGGCTTTTGGATTTGATGAAATAAATAGAGCGTGCAGTGAAGGCAGCAGTGAGCGTGGAGTTGTGATTGTCGGCGACGTGAGCATCATCACAACGTGGATTGGTAAAGACGATGCAGCGAGGCGGAAATTGGTAGCTGTCGTTTGCAAGCACCGCAATAGCCATCAGGAGTGGAAGGACTGGGCTGCAAAGGTGAATCTCCTCTCCCGGGTGGACGACCACCACATCTGCAAGCTTCAGGGTTACTGCGGCAGTGAAGCAGAGCAAATCCTGGTGTATGAGCACGTCTGCGGTGGCAGCCTGAGTGACTATCTTTTCGGAAGTTTGTGCAAGGCCCTCTTGGGCTGGAAATCCAGAGTGAGAATCGCCCTCGGTGCTGCCCGCGCCTTGGCCTACATCCATGACCTCGCTCCTATAGAGGTATAATAATCGTTATCAATGAAGTCCATGGTTGTGATTCAAGCTGATGGTTAACTCGGCAGGGGAAGTAAAAATGTTTCACTTGTGGGATTGTTGTGCAGGTTGTATACAAAGACTTCAAAAGTTCAAGCGTTTTGCTGGACTTAGACTTCTCTGTGAAGCTTGCGGGGCAAGGTTTGGATGTGATCGCTTGGAGGGAGGATAAACTAAACAAAGCAGCATCCAAGGTTTGCACATTTGATCTTAGAATTCACAGCTTCCGACCACTACCAATCATTCAAATCTATCGTAACTAACATGGTTGGAAAATACAATTTTTGCAGGTTTTGAGGAAAAGTGAAGCTTCCGCCAAAAGAAATATTCGAAGCTTCGGGGTGTTTCTCCTCGAGCTTTTGACGGGCAAGTCCATCGCCGGGGAGAGGTTTCTAAATGACGAGAAGCTTTACACACAGTGGGCCAAGCCTTACCTTCGAGCTGATCTGGAACAGCTTTCGACCATCATCGACGCACACATACGGCGACAATATCCGTGCCCAGGGTTGAAAAGAGTTGCAGCTTTGACGCTGCAGTGCTTGAGCAAGGACCCCATCAAGAGACCGAGCATCTCCGATGTTGTTGAGGTGCTCGACAACACCATGATTCTGCAGCCTGCTTGTAAAGCCGTTCGCAACAGCGACATGAACAAGTGCATGTGATTTCCAAGATTCAGCCAACCTCCTTTCAGAGGCTTTTCTAGAACACTCTCCAACAAAGTGTTGTAGTCCATCGAAAATTAGGTTGAAGATTGTAATTTTTCTCAACTACCAGGCGGTCATTGATAAAAGAAGAAAGAAGATCAGTCACCAATATGTGTAGAATCCCTTGTAAAAAATTGTAACTGATCTTTCCAAATTAAACTATCCCACTTCCTAATGGGCTCTTCGACGTACTAGTGTTACACCAGTCAAATGAAAATTTGGAAACTACAAAGTGGAAGGAGAATACGAGCAGGCCAGCAAACTTTGATGACTTTAAGATTTAGTATAAACAATGCTGCTACAAGATCATCAATTTGCGAGTTAGAAAAACCTTAGTTATTAACTTTTGCTTCATTAATTATATTACATGCGAGTTTTGGGTACGAAAGGATTTACAGCAATGAAATATGGTCAGAGTCTTAAAGTCTGAGTGCACGCTGCAGCTTGACGTTTGCAATGATGCTAAGGTGCACCTTGTTGGCTTTTCGTGCTCATGAAATTGAGCCTTTACTTCGTAACTCCTGTTGTGATCAGGAAATAGTGATGGTCTCGAGGCATTTCCACACACGCAAGTGCCTACTGCATCGATGAGCTTCATGGAGCAATTAGAAACTTTGCTGTAAAGGCGTCATTTATGAATGCGAAGCCATAGATGGAATCAACAATATAGAATCGTTTTTTGTTGACTTCAGATATTATGCTTTTAAGGACTCACTTACCAGGATCCTCAAGTTGCTCCTCCCCCTATTGGTTTGCTTTCATGTCTCGTGAAGGCTTCTGAACCCTTGGCAGCAGCCAGTGTTCCCTCCTGAAACTCAAATTTTTACGTAACTCCTTTTGGATATCATAGTATTTCACATTAGGAAAAAGCTAAGGATATTATTGTATACGTTCCTGAGTCATCTTCATTAACTGTCTGCCGACGAAACAGCCGCCTTCAATTAACCTGCTGGTCCTCCCCTTACCTTGACATGGGGTCACTGTTGTATTACACAAGATGCGTTCTCCACTGAAATGGACATATCAAAAAATTGGGTGCTTCTCTGGTTGTTCCAGCTTCGCCAACGGAGAGCATGAAAACTCTACTCTGCTACACAATGGATAGAGATTTGGCTCTCTCTCTCTCTCTCTCTCTCTCTCTCTATCCTCGTGAAGGATATCATCGGTTACGACATCTGAATTGGACATAACCAACACAAGATGTGCTCTAGTTAAGTTGATTTTAAGTACTACCGACTGCAGCCGCACCTGAATAATAGTATTTGCGACTGGATATATTGTGAGGTTCCACCAACCGCCCCCAGCAGCCGCAACAGCCATTGATTGGAATGATCTGACACCTCTCCTTTTGCGGGATGTCATTTTGAAGGATGAAATCCAAATAGAGAGAGTTGGTGGGTAAATAATATTTTGGTGATCAACGACCACTCACTCGCGAAATATTTATAAAGATCCTGGATTTCTCTCTTCAGTGGAATCCTTTTTCTTGCTGAAATAAGCCCCAATTTTCGAGGAGAATTTTGGTTTTCTCTCCTTTTCTGCTGATGAAGATTTCGTAGTCAAATCCGGCTGTGCATTAGACTCTACTGGCGATCTCTCCTGACGCCCTGGACTGGCACAATTTGCGAACGACAATGAAGAGCATGAAGGGCTACTACTTTGAGAATCCTCTAAGATATAGATGCTATTCATGTTGCCTTGCCTCTCCCCCGTCACAAATTTGCCCATTGGATTACCACCATTCAATGTTCCTGAGAATGACAATGGTTTCCCCTCAAACCTTATGGCCTGCAGTGCTGCTTCAGCTTCATCCCTCTTATTAACAGCTTCGTTCAATTCAATTCGACAAGCTCGAACTTCTCTCTCCAAAACTTCCACTTTCCACCGCATTTCTCTCTCACTCGCTTTAGCTGCATCCACCTGCCCATACCATGTAGAAAACACCAATACAGCTACTTTAGAACAAACACATTACTAATTGAGCATCAGCCGTGTTGAAATCGAATGAATAGTTTCCTTTTTCATTTAATCTATCACTTGGATATTACATCAGATTCCGTTTCCATTTAGGAGACGTTACAAATCCATCGTAAGGTAACCAAAGCATCATTTGATTGCGATAGAAAATAAACGTCGTGATGTTAACATTGTTAATTCCTGGTGTAGTAACCATTTAATTCAGCATTCATAGATTTCCTGCCTATTTAAGCGAGCTGAAAGACAATACAAGAGCCACTTATGGTTATACGGTTGACAAATTTAAAGATAAAAATTCTATGAAAGTTGACATTAGGTTCAATGGGAATATCACCTGCGCTATTCCCACAGCAGCACGCTTGTTGACTAATTCTTGTAAGTCTCTAGTCTTTGTTTTCAGATTTTGATACTCATGAGATATAGAAATATCTCCATCTTGCTCCTCTTCAGTCTCCATACTGGAGTACTCTGGTATGGTGTTTAACCTCATCTATAGTGCGGACATGCATTTTCAATTATTAGGAATATCAAGCCAAGATTATCACACATTGCTGCCATGCCAGAAACGACAGATTGGCATACTCCGACATTTGAGAAGACGGTTGTAGCTAACATGGACATTACTTCGAATTCGGGAACGCTATGATTGTCAGAGAGATGTCTTTTTAATAACCTAGCTTGAGATGGGCAAAGAAACCAACCTGTGTAAAAGCCCATTCTTCACTTGCTTTGACGGCCTCAACTTCGAGTAGTAATGCCTGCAGTTTTGCATCAATGGTTTCAATGTGCGCCCGCGATTCCACAACTTCATGTCTAGCCTTCTCAGCTTCTTCCGTAGATTGCTCCGCTTCTGCCATTACCTGTTCGGGCATCCAAATAGAAGAATCTATCAGTAATGTATGCAGGGCAACGGCGGCATTCGCTGAAATGACACTAGATGGAAGACTTCAGGAGTTGAAAATGGTATGCTTCATTGGAGGATTGGTGATAAACACCACAGAGAAGTAGGCTAAGATTGTGAGATATGGATAAGTTAGGGTTCCCCGGTGACCTTGATTTAAGACTCATTCAAAGAAAAATTTGCATCTTTCAACATTGTCGTCGAGATTACCGCAGCCTCCAGTAGAGCCCTCATTTGGTTCAGTTCCGTTTCATGTCGCTGGTCCTTTTCTACAAAAGCTACTCCATTATTCTCCCGCACTACTGCCAATTCGCCCCTAGACTTATTAAGTTCCGCTCGTAAGGACACCATGGAGGCTGCCATTGTCCTCTCTGACTCAATCGCCTTTTCTAGTTTTGCAGTGACATCGTCTAAGTCCAGCTTGAACGCCCTCGCCTGCAAAATATATCAAATTGAGATGAGTATGTGCTAATATCATCTATGCTGTGCGACCCAGTTTCTCATGTGCAATGCTCATGGAAGTTGCGGTAATTTTCCTTGTCAGGTAATTGAAGAACATAACTTTAGCTCTGTTTAGCATTTTATCTGATTCTTTCATCGTGAGTCAGCATTTAGTTTGCAATCCGAATTTTGATAGACTGGGCTTTGATAGGTACTTTGTCAGCGAGCCTTGAAGCATCTTCCAGATCTATTCTCATCCTTTGCAGAGTCGAACTGCAATGCTTTAAATCAGCTTTTGCCCGCGCTTCGCCCTCTTTTGCAGTCTTGATTTCAGCTTTCAAAGACTCTAATTTCGCGGACAATGCAGCAGCATCTCCTCCTACCCATTCTAATGCCTCGTTTGCTATCGCCAGTTCATCCTTCGCCTCTTGCAGCTCAGCATCGGTCGCAACTAAAGACTCCTTCCACTCTGCTTCCAAATCTCGAAAAGCACACAATTGGATTTTGAGAGCCTCAATCTCTGCTTGTGAATTTTTGACGTTTTCATGGTAATGTGCTTCAGATTCTTTGATAGCGCACAGCTCAGCATACAGGGTATCCATCTTGGCACTAACCTCTGGAGCAGATGGTATGGCCATAATTTCCGTACTTAATGTCATCCGTGACCTCAGTTTCGCCACCTCCAAACTCATCTTCTCTAGCTTGGTTTCTCTTCCTCTGGTTGTGATAAGCTTAGGACGAAGTGCATCGAGATCTGTACATAGAGCGCTGGCGGCTGTAGTTTCCTTGGTAATACTTTTTGCAAGCTCAGTTTCAGCATTCATCTTTGCTGCATTCGCCTTCTCTAGGTGTTCATTTGCGGCCATCAATTCCAAAGTCAACTCTTCTACTTCGTTCTCTATGAGAGACTTCTCTAATTTCAATGTGATAAAATTCAACTCGACATCAGCCTGCACGTTACATATCTCCTCCTTCAAACCCCCGATTACTTCTAAAGTGCTCCCAAACTCTTTCATATATAAAAGTTGCAGTTCTGCAATCTCTTCGCTTACACTACTAAGCATTGCCAGTATAATATTGCAAGGCTCCTGAACCTGGATCAGTTCAAACTGAAACTCCGTGGAGACTTCCTTAGTAATTGATAGCTCCTTAAAACACTCTTCATGTCGTCGTTCAAATGCACTCTACTCACCATGCAATTTAGTGATGTCCATTCCCCCACTGAATAATTCATTACATGCCGTCTCTAACTCTTTCTGCACATATTTGACCTCTTCCCTCGCCTTGAAAAGCTCCTCTGTTGATCTGTTCTTCTCCTTCTCAAATGCTACTAATTCATTTTGCAATTTCAAATTCTCCTCCTTGGCAATTCTGATTTCAGCGGCAAGGCTATCACGACTGGCTAGGTGTTCAGCTTCGAGCGTTCTAAAATCTTTCGTTGTATTGAATAATGCCGTGGAGCAGGTTACATACTTCTCACGTGAGGCTTTTAATTCAGCTCGTAACTTCTCCACCTCTACTTGAGCTACTGAAAGCTCTGTGCGAGTGATATCATACTGTCCCGTTTCAAATTGCAATGTTTTTTGCAGCTTATCCGTCTCTTCTTTCGTACTTCTTAGCTCGGAAACCGAATCTTTACAATTAGCCAACGCGGAAGTCAATTCACCCTGCAGTCTACGAACTTCTTCTTTGGCATTCACGCATTCTGAAATTGAAGTTTCATAATTCGCATGAAGTTCGAGAATCTCTTTTTTTGCAATCTGGAGCTCTAAGGAAGAAACTTCATGTAAACCCTGCAAGTCCTCTAAGTCTGCCAGCAATGCATCATTACTCTTTAATGCAGTAGCAAGTTCGAAAGAAGACGATTCATGTAGACTCTGCAATTTAGAAATCTTTTCTTCCGCTGCCAAGAGCTCCATGGATAAGGACTTCTGTGAACTTTGAGCAACTCCTAGGTCTTCCTGTAGTACATTAATATTAACCTTTGCATGATCAAGCTCTACAACCAAATTTTGTGCAGCTTGTAAATCAGCTTCAAGCCAAGTGACTTCTTCTTTCGCTCTGCCCAACTCTGAATTGCAGGCCTCATAGTGGGTCCAAGTATCGCTCAAGGTTGCTTGCAAAGCTCGAATGTCCTTTTTTGCATTCTCAAGCTCTGATACCAAGCTTGTATGCTGATGCCCCGCTGCTGTGAGCATAGACTGTAGCCTACTTCTTTCCGTTTGACACTCCTCAAGCTCCAAAGAAGCCGTTTCACTGCGAACTCTATCAACCTCCTGCTTTTCAACGTCAAGTTCTGCAGAATAATCCAATTAGCAGACCTAAAAGTTCATTCACCGAGAGCAAACAAAGAACTTTTGCCAACGAATACTTCTATGTTGGATGCGACTCCGTCACACATTGAAACAATATTGCTAAAGTATGTTTCAAGGTAGCTTATCGTGTATCTTGCATGAAAGAAAGTCAATCCTCCTCTTATTACAGAAGAGAAATTGCCAATCACAACCGTCAACCACAGTTGACATGGTTTTCATGGAATATTAGGCTGAACAAAGCAATCAACAGCATCCAAAGCTTTAATATTGATTAGCGAGAGAGAAGATTGAGTTTGTAGCTACCTGCTGCCAACGTTGAATTGAGACTCTGTGCAGCTTCATGCTCATTATGAAGCCTGTCGACCTCCTTGTGCATTGCTGTGTCAAGTTGCCCATTAGAAACATCCCTCCACCTCAATGGAAATGGTATGGTCTCCACCTCCACGGTGTCAGAAGCTGCGAAATGTTCAACAAGAGATATTTGATCCAGAAGATTCTTGATGTTGGTGAACTCTGACAAAGCCTGAGCCTTGCCACGTTCAGAGATAGCTAGTTGTTTCTTCAAGTTCGCCATTTCCTCACTCGCGCGATGTAGTTCCGCTTCGAGGACGACAACCCTCTGTCAAGGTTCTTGAAAATGTCAACATGTCCGAGTCGCGGTTGGAATTTAAACAAGCTCATATGCCTTTACTGGAACATCGATTTTAGTCTTGTGTAGTTCAACTTATTATGAGCAACTCCCGACAGAGACTCTTGTTAAGCACTGTGATGTTTTGATAGTGGTACGTAATGCAAGGCCAACCCAAATAAATTGATCATAAATACATTAGAATGAAATCACTCATAAATGCAGATGACTGATATACAAAATTGCATCCCTGAAAGCACGTTTCCTTTACCTCAGTGTAATGACCGGGGCCACCCGCCGTCTGGAGACCCAGTTGGTGGTATGAAACAGCATGGTGAGTTGGCGAACATTGAAGGAGAGGTTGATGCAAGCAATTGGTCTTGGCAGGAACCTTTTCGTCGAACAAGCTGAAAACAACTTTTGCTTCAGGTGCAATTGGATGCAATGAAACCACGTTTGCCTTGGGCTCCGCCATGATCTCCTTCTTTCTCTCCGAGTCCCAGAAAATGTCGAATGAAGTAAACTAATCTTAAAAACTTTCAAACTCTGCAGTTTCCTACAAGAGCAGAGATACAAATGAGATATTAAAGCAGCGATAAGGTAACAAGCACCAGAATATTTCTATCTTAATCCTCAAACGCACTTTTGCGCACGTTCATCCACTCAATATTTATTCTAAAACATACTAAAAGATCCGAAGACTTCAATCTACAAGATTTCACACTCCAACAACCTCTGCTTAATCATAGATAATAACATGCTGTGGATGAATTCTGCCTGGCTGCCATAAACTTATCGTGAACCTAATATGCTAAGTGTGAAAATTAGCAAGCCTTTCTCGTAGTCGTGACAATAGATGATGACTGATCGTTTGCGAAAAAGGAAAATTAGGAAATGTGTCAGTATAGATCTGCCCATAGATTAATCTCAATCTGTGGCGAGTGGTAAATAAGTTGCTAGAGAGACAACAAGAGGCTGAGAGTCCAGCAACTCTCAATATTAACCACCAGTTTGATGGAGCTATGAGAATCGAACATTGATTGAATTACAGAATCTGAAACAACTCGAACAATAGCAGCTGGAGAGGAATCTGAAATAGATTACACTTAGGCAACTGTTATTCTCACAACCACAATAACTTGGCAGATTGTTCTAACCTTGAACCAGCCAAACGTTGCACCGAACCATCACCTCCATCTGGCGCGATAATGAACTAGTCGCCACCACTCTCAAGAGATTATGTCAGCACCTGCTACCTCGTCTACATTCAGGTAAAAAACCGTCCATAAATAATTTCTGACACTTTTTCCGAAAGCAATCGAAAATCTCGGCCATGACGTGAGACTAGCACATCAATTGATCACGGTTGCAGTTTGCTCAGTAACTCCATTCGATTCTTAAAACTTTGCATTCATAGAGACCGTAAAGAGGGAGAGCGAGAGAGAGTCACTTCATTAATTTGTTGCTTTGACATACCAGTAAGAGCAAAACAAATGAAATAACATGCAATATAGGAAAAATAATCGGTTTTCTCAGTCAACTCCAAAGCTATTTGTTGTGACCCTCAATAAGGACCAAATAAAATACTACAATTTACTGACGTCCTGAAATCCCGACAAAGTCATGCACTTAAACAGTAACTCTACCCTATGAAAAACCCATACGAAACAGCAGCCAAGGATTACAATAGCCAGACCCGACATCGAAGGACACCCTTGAAGTTCCTCGCGTTTGACGCCATCAGTTTACACTATTTCCTCGTAGCATGCACTCGCTTGGGACTGAGTGCACTGCAAGCCACAACATCTGCTACAAATGGGACTGCTAAAACCGGTGTTTGGGGGGGATCTAGATAGCTGTACCCACTCTGAAATTCATTTGAATCATCGAATAATCTCCATTTAACCCGTTCACACCTCCAGCACGCAAGCACGTAGGCAGTAATAAATATCTCTGTGAAGAATGCTCAAGAATGTGATCACGTATACTGAAAGAATCGACACAATCCTCTTCGTCATTTACAGACTCTTCACTTTCTAAATTTTAGCACAGAACGCCTTGGACCTCTAAGGTGCCATCGAAACCCTGTCAGTCACCTTGTGCCAAGAACTAAGGATATATCAACATAATATACGTATTTTGTGGAAGAAAACAATCGACAGCTGAAGCCACTGGTGTAACTAGTAAAGAATAGAAGATGCGTCTTGAACTCAACGAAAGACTCAGATAAACAGTAGGTTACCACCAGAACCGAAACGCGGCTAAATTACTACAGCGACTTACTAACAAAACCAGAACTAGAGCCAAAACACACTAGATGAAAGGGGAACGACCGATTCCTCTCAGAATTGAACCTCAGAAGATTCAATTCATTGTCATGCAGAAGAAAGAGTTCCTATCCTGCACGGTAAATGCACCTCGCGCTGTAGTACTCACAAGTGCAGAGATCGATCGAGACTGAAGGTATTAGAGAATTCTCAAGACGAAACTTCTCAAGCCAAGGAACGGGAAGTGAGTACAACAAAATGAGGGTGCAAAGATTCACAAATCGAGACGAGGGAGGCAGCGACAGGGATGTGGATGCTCGGAGATTGTTACAGCAGAAGAGGAAACCTGAACTAGGCGACCATAGGCAGGGGCGAAAATTTTTAGATCATCACCAGTAATTCGAGGTTAGTGAGCTGTGAATGTCAGTGCTAGCGGCGATGATTGTTCAGAATTGGTACGCGCGGGGGGAGGAAAAAATTGGCCGCGGAGGAAAGGAGGAGACGATTGAAGGAGCCAAGGGTAGCGGTGAGCCTCGAGATGGAGTCAGTCAGTCAGTCAGTTGGTCAGTCTCGGTAACTACAACTACAACAACACAGGGGAATCATGGCGAGCAAGCCACTTTTTTTTAATATGTTTTAAGTTATTAACCGTTTTAAATTATGATTCTGGTTGCGGCAACCTCATGAAACATGATTTATGCATATTCAAATATTATTGAATATAATGCTTGGCGCTTCCTTTGAGAGATCTTACTGCTCTTCCATTTCGTCAACTCACCTTTGAACCCGAACAGATTAGCATTTCGCGTCACTTATAATATTCGTAAAGCAGGGGTTTAGGCTAACTTTGAATCCGTTACAGAGCAAAGTAGCATGGAATCCCTACACTAGAAGAATATAGTCTATAGTGTGTTGGAAGTTGTCAATATGAACAGGTCAAAGAACTTGCAGTAACTTTTAGAAACCAAATTTGCAAAACTTGAGTTCAAACCTTTTAATTATGAATACGCATTTGATAAAATGACATACACGAAATAGTGAAAAATGTAGAAGTGTATTGAATCTGAACACCCATAAGATAAAGCACTTCACACGCCTCTTCATTAAGCGTGAACTTGAAGCAAACATGTACTACTACTTCAGAGCTTCGGGAAGCTGACGTGGAGGGTACATGGTGGCAGAGGTGCCGGACATGATGCGAAGGCTCCATGTACCGGCTGAGCCTGCACACAACAGGCCTGTGGCCTTTTATTAAGGTATTTTTAGTGTAAAAGCTGCCAGGACCCCTCCCCCCTATACAAGTTTCGCTTGTCCGTGACATTGGACTCTCTCCACATACCCGGCTCTCTATATTGCGCCGACGGTTGATACTAAGGTCAGGGTTTTGCGAGACTGTTCGGCAAATTCATAGAAGATCTCCAGATTGCTTGGCCGGGAGTACTGAGCTCATTGCATGGGGGATCATTGTCTGGATTGGCATTGACGCCTATTTCCTGCGGTTTCGTGTAGATTTTCAATTTTTGAAATTGTGTGGTGGAAAAGCCGTAGTGACCTGCTGCGGTTGCGAATTGTGGGAGCGTGTGCAGAGAGAGCATTTAGGTTTGCGTCGTGGTGAGTCGTGTGATTTTCGAGACGTCTGCCAGTGTTAGGTTTTCGAGGTGTGAGCTCGAGGGTGTTTGATCGTCATGGCGGAGGGCATTGCTTTGCTCTCTGCGTACTCTGACTCAGATGTCGATGATGATAGTCCAGTCCAAGCCTCCTCGGATGCGCGCGGGAGTATTGTGGATTACGCTCAGGACGAAGGGCATGGTGATGAACGTGATGATGAGCTTAAGGGAAACGAACCCTTGGCGGAGAGTAACTTGGTTGAGGTTTCTGGCTCAGGGGTTTTGCAAGTAGAAGGAATTGTTCCCATGGATGCAGACACACAGGAGGATATGCAAACAGGTGATGGAGATGTACAAAATTTAGGTGAAAACGGCAACGACGAGGTTCCTGTTCCCAGCGCAGAGGAGGAAATATTTTCTGGTTTTTGGCCATCACCCCCATCCACACCATGCCCAGAGGAATTACAGGCTAAATTTTCGAAGTTTCTGAAACTTAAAGAACAGGGAAGGAACTTCAATGAAGATCTGCGAAAGTCGAAGGGTTATCGAAATCCAGACTTCCTGCAGCTTGCTGTTCTACATCAAAATATAAACGAGATTGGCAGCTGTTTTGATCCAGAAATCTTCGACCCGCACGGATACGACAAAAGTGACTTTGCAGATGCATTGGGTACGGCTCTTTCATGTTTCTAGTCCATCGCATTGTCTGGTTGATTTTGTCAACGTCGACATTGTAATATCTCTTGTTGTTACATTTTGTTTTCGCCTCTATGCTTCAGCCACTGCCAACTGAAGCATTGTGAATTTTATATGTGTTGAGCAGCAGCTGAGCAAAGGAGGGAGGCAGATCGCAGGGAGCAGGAGAGGAGGCAGAACCAACGCACCAGTGTTGACTTTGTGCGCGCAACACAGCTTCTTACCTCTCAAAAAGGTGTGTAGAGTTCCTTCCAAGAAATTGACTCTTGTGTATGCTATTCAACAATTTATTTGCATCCTGAATTTCAATAATTAATATTGCAATATCGACTGTGGTTCATAGAAATTGATGACCCACAGATAGTCGCCAGTTACAACTTCGTATGGCCTGAATCCTCGAATTTATTAGGTTCCTATGCTCAGTTGTGAATATCTGGAGTCTGTAATAGTTCTGGTGTTTATATAACTCCTCTTATAAGCAAGTTATCAAAGTTTGTGCACAGAAAATTGGCAGCTTCAGGTTAAATGTTTCTTTTTCTTCTTTGTTTTGTTTTGTTTTATTTTTCCCTTTTTGCTCTGCAGTGTCACTAGCAGCAGCAGCAGCAGCTACGAATGCTCAGCTCGTACAGGGAGCCCATACCATTATCAGTACGACCTCCTCAACAGTTCATACTACAACGACAACAAGTGAAGTAAGGAGTGAAACCCGTGTCAATAAGAAAAGCAAATGGGACAAAGCGGGTCATCACTAATAGCATCTGTCAGCTGTTTTTTTTAAAGTTACAATTGCTGGAGGGCACATTGGCACCAATGTTAACTTGTTATGGACTGTTTGGGTATGTTCCCCTTCTGTACTCCAGCAACTTGTAATGTCATAGCAGTACTTGTGCAGTTCATGGAATTTTACGATTTCACCTGGAGTGTTTTATTGCAGCGGACTGTGTCTATAAAAGTGAGAGCATAGATGCGGGTGAACTTTGAAACATTAAATCTTGTGCGCCTCACATGCACATATCGACAATTTCTTATGGTATACCTTTTGGCGCTGTCTTAGAGTGACGCTGTTTGCTTAGTTTAGATTCTTTCGAGTTTGCTTCTGTTCAGGTTTTGTTTTTTTTTGTTTTTTTTGTTTGTTTTTTTTTTTTAATCCTTGCTCATGTTCATGAAACCACTTGTAATAATATCCAATCGTTCATCCTGTCGAGACTATCTTGTAGGCTTAGACAGGTGTTACCCATGATCTACCTCATGTGTTACCGATTGCAGATCACCTTCAACATTATGAAAGTGTTCAGCATTGACTCAGACAGTCCGACATTCTCATAAGCTTTCATTATTTCCAGAGGCAAGCAATGAACTTCGCAGGTTAAGTGCCTTTGTTCCAAGTTTATGAATTTATTCTTCGCTACTTGTAAAGGCTTGGCACATGCAATCTGTAATTTCTAAGATGCAAGTTTGACATAATTGTATTTTAAGATGCAATTCCTGACTTGGAAAGGCCTCTTAATTAAATCTTCCAGAAATTGCCCACTCAGTCGTACATTGTGCTCATTGCTAGTTGACGCATTTGTTTATCCTCTTATCAGTTGTGTGAGGGTGACTGCTATCGACAAAAACCACTGACTAGAATTTGCATGAAATCATATCAGTTTCAGGTATGGAATTGCATGAAAGCTTTTGCAGCTCTGAGGAGATAAAGTGGACCAAATCTGGATTCTTGGACTTGGAATCATTTTGATAGGACGTGCGACTTTCAAGGATTTTCACTTACGCTCTTAGTAAGCGACTCTGAAAAGGTTGAGGAATAATGATTGTACTGTTGTATCCTATTTAGTATTGTGGACAATACGCAGAAGTACACACCATGCCTCTAGATTTTCCTCTAGATGCCGGCGAGTGGGAGGAAATCAATCTCCCAATCGAGAACTCTGTCAACATTCCACCGGGATTAGGAATACAGTAGCGCTTCATTAACATAAGTACGAGAATCCACATTACCTTACCCATGAAAGTGTTAGTTACAGTTATATTTAACACGATCTTCCCTTCACGTATTCGTACCTTTTAGGCCAGTCCTTACTTTCGTCCTCGTACATATCACGTTCATAACTCATTACGTAGAAAATTGCATTCAATATATTCTTAACCCCTGTTTCAATACTCGCTTATCGAAAAATTCAATGCCGACCTGCAACAACTACCTTGATGATAGTAACACACCTTTCGGTTGTGTAAATATGGTCATGTGTGAAATAGCACAATTGCAAAAGTCGGAAACACAGAACACATCTGGCAAGGGGGACACACTGACATGTCTGATGAAACGACGCTCACAATTCTGTCGAGAGGATGAAGATTTGGATTCCATGAGCATCTCTAAATTGAATATCTCAACTGCCACATTTGAAAATATGAGGACATGTTACAGTTCTTCCAAGGTGAGCCAAACAATGTGCTGCCGTACATTGCACACTTAAGCTACGATTCTGAGGTTGTTGACCTGGTCACCGTTGAGTGGACGTTGTTGTCCTCTGAACGTTGTAGTAACTTTGTTCGCAACTGCATGAGGAGAAGCCCCAACTTATTCTCTCCGTCCCCACTCCGTCCTGCACCCCAAAACATGTCATTTTGAGACGCTTCCACCAGCACAGCACCCGCAGTTGTTAGGAGCAGATCTCGGAGAGCAGGGTACGAAGTAAACTTCGCATGCAAGGCTGTCTCCATCGCACAAAGCTTTGCCACCGCCCAATCGGCTCGCACCTGCAAGTTGCAACACCACTCACTACGCTTCAGTACTAAGTACATTTCATATTACCAATCAGGGCGGGCTTGAAGTAGTGTTCCAGGTTCTGAGAAACTTCTAGTTGGGCCCTTACAAGATCTGGACGCTGCCGTGCAAGAGTTCTTCCCAGTCGTGCTGCAACTTCAGGACTCTTGGCCAGCCGAATATTATGAACACATTCTTGGGCTAATTCATGTTTTACACCCACGAATTTCTGAGCCTGCAATGGGTTACAAAAGAGTAACTGCTTAAGAACCCGGAAAGCACTATTACACTCAAGAATCGTCATCGAAAGTTACATACGAGGTTCCAACATGCTGCCACGAATTACAAAAAAATCAAGCAGTAGGAAGCAAGCTACTGTAACACTGTAGTAACACTACTCAGAGAATTTAAGTACGAGATAACAGATTTATTTCGAAGGGCTAGATATTTCCTCTTGTTGTAGAAGGTATTATTGTGCAACAAGTGTCTCCTCGCAACCTCCTTTTCATTTTTAGATTGTCATGAGGTCGTTCTTCAAGGAGACCATAGAATCTAGCTTGAATACAACGAGGATGCATTGAGGGACATTTAAGCATATTACAATGGATCACACAAGTAGTTTATTTATTTTTTTACTTATTTTTTTCAAGTATATCCATGTCCAGAGGGAAAGCTGTTTCCTAAGGATTCATGACTAATCAGCAAATGTGTTCAAGAAAACGTCAAATGATGATAGTGCACCTGATAATAATGCTCAACACTGTTCCATGATATGACAGCTCCGGTCTCATCGGGAAGAGAGATGGGGTGGGGTGAGAAGTTGGAGAGTGCACCGTAAGGATCCCAGGGCTTGTAAAAGTAGATAACTTGAGGTCGTTGGGGTAGCGAAGGGATGGTTGAGTCCATTGCTGCGGCAGCCTCTACTAATGCAGGAACATTAGGTTGACAGTGAGGAATTGGTTGCAACAACCCTGTCACCAGCATATCTGGTCCTACCTGCAGAATGAAAGAATAGGAACAGCACTACCACATGATCAAGACCACTAAACGTTCCACTACTCTAGGGAAACAATAAATTTCTGTTCACAAGTTTGACCAACTTCTGATGTAATTTTTGGTGCCATTTTGCAGAACACTACATGATTATGCTCCTTGTAAGTAGGTAGGGTACTAAGTGCTGAACTAAGTCGCAGATAATGGCCATTAACATTCCAGGATATAATGCGACCTCATTGTCTAAGCAGGTCTAGTGCCGAAAATCCATCACCACAAAGTCCAACATCTCTGCCACTTCAAACTACAAAACATTACACACATAAGTACAAAACTACCATAGTCACAGCCCTGACTCGCGCTTACTGGAAAATAATATCCTACTATAGACTTACCTACAAGCAGATTTGTAGCATCATGCAGTGATTCCAAGTCTGACAAAACTCCTTGACGTACTCAACTAAAAGGTTCCAGACAAACCTGCTCAAAAGCAACATCTGACAATTGAAGAGCTTGTGTCATCTCCACCATTCCCAGCTCTCCTACTGGTGTAGGTGCCGTAATGCCCCCAATAATCTTGGGAGATATGAAGGCCATAACCTGCAGGTCATACGACAATTAGACAATTTATTGAATCATCCGCAAAATATAGTGTAAATTAAGAGGGACCACTCCTGCCAATCATTATGTGCAACAACATGAAGAAAGTAATTACCTTCTGAATTACACCTGAAGCAATGGCGGGCGCTGACAGCATGCCTCCACATTCCCACAAAATTGACAAATAACCCCGGTTATAGCAGTAGTCCATCACTGCTCGTGGGGTCAAGAAGTCAAATTCCACCACTTCCACGCCTCTTGAAGCCAGCAGTGCCTGGAAGTCCTGACGAGCACCCTTTTGTGTTGTGACAATGGTCTGGGTGGTGGATACGTCCCATAGGTTGGCATCCATAGGAAGGTTTAAGCACCGTGACATTACAATGCGAACTGGAAGGTGTCCACCTTCTTGCCTTGTTGTAAGGCGTGGATCTGCTCATGTAAGGGATATGGTAAGAGGATGCGCGAGCGTTAAATTCATGGTACCATATAAATTCACGGATTTGTGCCATAAAAACACAAGAAATATTCTAAAAGAATGAGGGAGCAATACTTACTGTCACGACGGACGGTGTTGCCTCCCACAACGATAGCATCACTTCGGGCACGCATTTCGAAGACACGTTTCCGAGACTCCGTGCTGGATACCCATGTAGAGTGGCCCGTGCTGGCTGCAATCTTCCCTGCTCAATATCAACGACAGGATGCCTGTGTGCTTAGATCAGTCTGCATGTTGCAACAACATATATAACCATCAATGACCTCAATCTCATATGTGTTGGCTTCGAATTCGGTGTTATAGGCATCTCGACTTTTTGAAGCAAATACAAGCAACAAAAACATCGAATCGTACCATCAACCGTCATAGCGTACTTCAACAATGAATAAGGTATGCCGTTGGCAGCCCGGTAGAGGAGGGGAGCGTTCACTAATTGGCAAGCCTTAAAAGCTTCCTGCACGATCACCAATTCATGATTAGACACTTGTATCAGCTCTATTTTTGGTTACCACGTATTTACCAAAGGGAAATATCAGAGATTGTACAGATGCATGCTTGGTCGTGATAGAACCATGTTTCCATTAAATTCTAGTTTACGTATGACGCCATGGAGCAACAGACAACATTGGAGGAAGATTCAAAACTTTGACCACACTCAATCCAAGTTTAACCCGTCAAGTTAAGGACTAGGGTTTAAGAACGTCGAAGACCAAAGGAATCCGTACGAAAGCAAAGAAAACACAGTTTCATAAACCAGTTGTCATTCACTATCCGATTTAATTAAGCTAAGACTTTCCATAAGTTGTACCTGTATACCACTTCCAGATTCCAGCAAATTCTGTCCGACCACTTCCACCTTGGCGCCACCCTGGTGAAGGGCTTTGATCGCCTTGCCATGTAGATGCTGTAATGGATGAGGTACTCCGACCACCACTCTTGATACTCCTGCCTGTGATCAAAAGCAAAGAAGTATCAAGAGGACAAATCAATAGATTCAAAATGAGAAGCATACGACGCAATTAAAGCTTACAAAGGATCGTGTGCCTTCGAAGGATAAAGAATGTAAAATTCAAATGATAATCTCTCCCAATTCTACTAAAATCACATACCGAAACAGAGATAGGTATCCTCATAGCACAAAATTCTCAACAACCATTGTAAGGAGCCAATGATGCACCGAATTCACAGTTGAAAAGACTTAACGACACTCACATTAAAACTTCAAAACCTTGCGGGGATGGAGAAAGAGAGATATAGAGTTTTCTACCCTTATCGAGAATGCGGAGTTCCAAACGAATTCTAAATGTTGACAAATGATACATGTACTCACCTCTCTAAGTGCGCGAACGGCACTATCATCGCCATGGCAATCGCCAGGCTCCAGATTTAGGTAAGCTGTAGCATTCTTGGCAAGTTCTCCAGCTCTTTCGACGGCTTGCACTTCAGCACTCTTAGTGCCTTGCGCGTACAGAAACCCCTCCCCCACCACTTTGGGCCCATGGGCAATAACGCAGCCAAAATTCGGATGGGGAGCACTTAGTCCAGCTAATGATCCAGCAAGCTCTGCTGCCCGTAGCAGGTGCCGACTATCATCAGACGAGGGGATGGAAGTTGAAAGCTGTGCTGACACACATGCTCTCAGCGAAAGAGCTTGCACATGCATCCTTGGTGTCTCACCACAACCTTAAATTCTAAATGAACGGCCCAATTCCATTCAATCGCTCCGTTCCAGTGAAGAGTACTCTCACTTGCAAAATTCTCTACCCATCCACCTCCACTGAACTCATAAACAAAAATAGAGAAAGAGAGAGCTAAAAGTCAGATAATCTCGTTAAAATCACCTCCCAAATTCACATCAAGAATTCAAAACCCCGCATAAACTTTAGGACACGATCCTCCACAAAATACAATGTTCTTGTATTCGCCAATGCGGAGCCAAGTAACGAAATCTCGCTCGGCTTCACTCGTAATAGATTGCTCCAAAACCTCAAATCCTTAAACCCAGGGCGCAAGATTCACAAAAGAAGCAAACAACTGACCAGGTTTGAGAATGCTCCTCCGCTACAATAAAAACACGATGCAATAATGGTTCAATCGAGAATGTGAATCAAATTCCAGCCCGTGCAGACTGGATACAAAACAGGCGCGACAGAGACGGGGACAGAGCTCCAACACTAAAAAGCTGCTTGATGCAACAGGATAACGAACAACCGCAGGAGTTTCGGATAAATGAAATTCGGGAAGGGAAGTTGCATGGATGCGGAACAATCATCATCCCTCGTCACCACGTATCTCAGAAACCTCTCCATCGAAAAATATTAATTGTATTAGTATTGTAAATTGAAAAAAACTAAAATACTTAAAAAGACTAACACTATGTACATTAATATATATATATATATATATATATATATATATATCATTAAAATAGTAATATGGTATTTTAAAGTTTAAAATTATAATAAAATAAAATTTATAAATTATTATGAAAATAACTTAACTTAAATATACCTCACAACTTTAATTTGAAAAGATAACATAATTTTATTATACTTTTATTTTATTATAATTTTAAATTTTAAAATATAATTAATAAAATAAAATAATATACCTAAAAACTAACTTAAATATACCTCACAACTTTAATTATGTTATCTTTTCAAATATAATTGTATATGTGTAGAAGAAATTACATGTGTTTTCAAAAAATACAAAATATTAACATAAAAGATATTATGAAGGTTATTATATTACTCTTATTAATTTTATTATTTATTTATCTAAAAAATAGTTTCTTTAAGTAATATTATTCTAATCAACATGTATCACTAAACTAATGATATTTTAATATATTTTTTTGTTTTATACTTTTCATACATTTTACTATTGTAAATATATTTTAATACTTTAATTTAAATACAATATTTATATAATTTTTTTCTATGTGTGCATATATATATATATATATATATATATATATGTATTTTAATTCAAATTTTTAATATAAAATATATAAAAAAGATATTATTATTAGAAAAAATAACTTATAATCTTATATATATTATTTGAAAATAGGATTTATTAAATATAATCTAGAAACTTCTTTAATTTATATTATGTGTATATGCAAACATAAAATCTTATTTTTTCAATTATATTATTTTATAATTTTTTAAGGTTATTTAAACTATATATGTCTATATGTCTATATATATATATATATATATATATATATATATATATATATATACATATAATTATTTAATTTTATTATCTTTAATGTTATGCAAATGTCTTATTATGCTACAAAATAACTTTGTAACTTGGATCTTTTTCCAATTTCCAATACTATATAAAAAATTGAACTTATATTTTAGCAAGACTTCTATTGCAACTATTTGTAATGCTATTTTACTTAGATCTTATACTTCTAAATAAAATTAAAAATAGTCATGATAAGATTAAATATAAATTTATAAGATTAATTAATTAGTAAAATGATTAATTATCTAATATATTATCTTAAAACGTATAATTTTATTTACTCTTAGAAGTAAAGTTTACTATGTATAAAGTATATCTTTCTTTAAAATACTTCTTTTATATATTCTTATATAAAATTGATTTAATAATATGATTATTTGTGGTAAAAAAAATATAATATAATTTCATTGAATTACTTTAGATCTATAATTATTATATGAATATATATATATATATATATATATATATATATATATATATATATATATATATATATATATAATTCAAAATAATTTCTTTTACGTACTATTAAAGTTTTAAGACTATTATTCTAAAGTTGAACTATTTGTTGACGTAACAGTAAAATTCCATTAATTTTTTTTTACTAAAATAATATTTATCATATAATTTTTAAAATTATTTAAGTAATCATGTTTAATTTTTTATTTCTAATTTTTTTAAAATCATCATGTTGTATATTAATATAATGTAATATTTTAAAAATATTTTTTTAATTTTTTATTTAGTTATATATATATATATATTTGATAAAAAATTCTAATACTATCTAAGTTTTTTATGAATTGTAAGAATTCTTCTTAGAAACAAAAATATCATATACATTGATTATTGTTGTGTATGATAATAAAAAAAATTGTTTGAAGTAAGAGTGATGATTTAAAAGTATCAAGGACATGAATCTCAAAGAAAGAAAATCTTAGTACACTCTTATGTCACTTGAAAATACTAGAAAATCACTTAAAGATGATAATATATTGAATTAAAATAGTAATTGCCAAAGATAAGAAGATTAGAAAGTCTTGAAACAAGACTAATGATTAAAAAAGCATTGACCTGAATAAAAAAGAGTTTACTCTTACTTCCATATATACTATTTAACTATGAGCTATGCGGCGATGTTCTTTAGGACATCTTGTAACAGAGCATGGATAGTATATTTATATTATTTGTACATAGAGATATGTAGTTGGAGTCATTTTTAGGAAGTTTCTAGAATTGAGATTAGGATGGTGGTTCATATGGAACCTACCATAGAACCTTGTAAAAAGGCTTAGGGTGGTTATCATAATAGGACCTACTTCTAAAATCTTCTAAAAGAAAGTAATCTTGATGGAACCCACTACTATGGATATTTTAGAAAGTTCCAGGATAATTGAAGAAAGTATAAATAGGACTAGCTGATACCATTTGGACATTCCATTAGATATGGCTACAGACTCTTTCTCTAAGTAAAGTTTGGTTTCTTTTTCTTTTGTTGTATTTGGTTTTATTTGGTTCTATTCTCTTTTACTTAGTTCTCACTTTTATATTCCATTCTATTTAATTACTTTCAATTTTGTTCCAATGTACCTGATCTTATATTGTATTGAAATCTTTGTTGTTATGGAATTGGTAAGGTTTTAGACCTTAAAGAATCTAGTCTTGTTTCACCTCTAATACATATTGACTTTGCTAGATACATGTTTTAACTTACAAGAATTTTTTTTTTCTATGTATGTCACATAGTTAGCTTATTTTACAAGCTACTAATATATGTTGTTTATTATTAACTTATTGAGCAAGTTTCTAACCTATCAATTAACTGCAAACATATAAAAAAATCAAAATCACATCTTTTAAGCTTCTAAGAAGCTTTTTTAGAAGATATTATGAAATTAGTTTACATTTACTTACTTCTATTTAATCAAATTGATAATTATTGGATTAAATATGTATATCCATGACATTATTCTTTTTTCTAGAAATAAGTTCCATAAGGAGTGGTGTGATGTGATAACACAAATATATGGTAAAAAATAAAAATATGGATGTTATTATAGAAGAGCCTAGTAAAAAGATGTAATAAAAAAATAATGATAAATTATAGAAAGGTAATAAAAATTTTAGTCTTAATATTATTTTTATAGAAAGAACTTCTTTTTACTTCATAGAAACATAAATGAGCCAAATCAAAGTAAATGAGATAAGAAATTGATATAGACATGTTTAGAAGAGAGTAAAAATTTGGTTAAAGCAAAACTTACCTAAAATTACCAAAAATTGATATCCAAAGAGGACTAATTGTTAATCTAGATGAAAATTAGACTTTGAGACATAAAACCAAATTCTTATAGTGACTCAAATGTTTTTTTGTAAATCAAAGAGTGGAATTTGAAAGAAGACTTCATAGGATTTCTTTAAGCATTGGTTTTGGACAATTTGAGTTTGTAATAACTTTATAAGAGCTCTGCAAAGTTAAGGTTGTTTTCAATATATCTTATTTTATACAATAAAAAATAAAAGATTTATATTTAAAAGAATTTTATAAGTTTGATAGTAGATGTATAGATAAAATTTTTTAGATTTGTAATTATAATTATTCTTATTTTGTATTATAAATTTGAGCATGATTAAATAGCTAGATTAAAGGTTTATTGAAGTTCAAGTAGATTGAAGTCTTAAAAATAGGATTTTGAAGGTCAATAAGGATTTTTAAAATCTTTAGAAATTTTCTAATTGGATTAAGATGAAATTTATGTATATAAATAGTAGACTTGATTTTCAATACATATGTGAATTTTGAAAGGTATTTAATAGTAGAATTAAGAAATTGGCATTAAGATTAGAGAAAGAAGTCAGACAACACTTAAGTGGATTTTAGGATTGATCTTATATTTAGTAGGTTTGATCTTCTTAAAAATATTTATTCTTGTTGCTAGCTTAGTTGTTGAGAGGTATAAAAAATTTGAGTTAAAATCAACGGTTTGATTGTTTATTATAGAGGTTTCAATTAACTATAGGATTTATTAAGAATTTTCTTGTGATAAAGATTTGATTAAGATTTTTCCAAAATTTGATGAAATTTTGTCTAAGATTTGATTAAATTTTTTAAAATATTTATTTAAGATTTGATTTAGATTCAATTAAGATTTATTTAGAATTTATTTATAATTTATTTGAAAATTTAATTATATTTAATTAATATTTAATTATATTTATTAAGATTTAATTAAAATATATATAAGATTATATTAGATATTTTAGGACTTATTATTATAATTTTCTTTTACCTTCCATATGATAAGGACATGAACTGGAAGAAGATGCATAAACTTGAAAAATCAGTGTCAAAAGAAATGTGAAAAAATAGAATTAAAGTAGCATGTATATTAAAAGGAAATTAGAATGGCTATTGCTAAATGACAAGGAAACTAGAAATTCTTAAATTTAGACTAAAAGTAAGAAAAAAATTGACAAGAGTGAAGAAGGCTTCACTCTTGCCTCTATATATATTATCTAACTAAGAACTACGTGTCAATGTTCTATTAGACCTCTAATATGTGTTGACTTTGTAGGACACATGCCTTAGCTTACAAGGTAAGTTTTCTATGTGTAGGCTACATAATTAGCTTGTTCTTCAAGCTACTAATCTGTGTGATACATGGCCAACTTATTGACTACGTTTTTAATCTAAAAAGCCAATTAAAGACATCTATAAAGTCAAAAAAGTATCTATAAAGCTTCTAAGAAGCTTATATAGAAGATATTATAGAATTGACCTACTTTTACCTATTATTATTTAAATCATATAAGTAATGATTGATTTATATGTATATGTCCATGACATTATTCTTCCTTCTAGAGACAAGTTCCATAAGGAACCGTCTTTATGTGTTGAAGAAATCCAAAATGCAGCAAATTATATTTGCAATATACTCTAATCTTTG